TTCTCTCACTCCTGAAGGGTGAGTGCGGCCGATAGACCCGCCGGCTCAGCCCCAGGCCCTCCGCCCTCCGCTCCCCAAACGCTGTCTCCTGCGCCCCTCGCTCCTGGCATCCTCCCGCCAGCCCGCAGGGGTCAGACCTGGCCTCTGGCCCTCGCCGCTCACGACCCCCCAGTTCCTAATCTGCCTGGGTCCCACTCCTCGGACTGGGGCTGCCCGCGGTCACGACAGGCTGGGATTGGGTCCATCTGTCGGTCTGTCCCCTTGCTCCGCAGTGCTGCTCCTGCCACTGGCACCTGCCCCAGCCCAGGACCCGACTTTGGCCTTCACCCCAGGCAGCCCCCTCTCCCCCACCGAGTATGAACGGTTTTTCGCGCTGCTGACCCCCACCTGGAAGGCAGAGACCACCTGCCGTCTCCGCGCCACCCACGGCTGCCGCAACCCCACGCTCGTCCAGCTGGACCAGTACGAAAACCACGGCTTGGTGCCCGACGGTGAGGGCCAGACTCGGGGAGACCGAGGCGCTCTGGCAGAAGCCCTGAGCTCCCGCTCCCGTGAGAGGGAGATGGCCAGGCTGCACCGTTCGGGCTGCTCCCACACCCGGAGGGTCTCTGCCCCAGGAGGTGCCCCTGTGTCCGACTTGGCCACCCCTGCCCTTTCCAGGCGCTGTCTGCTCCGACCTTCCTTATGCCTCCTGGTTTGAGTCCTTCTGCCAGTTCACTCAGTACCGCTGCTCCAATCACGTCTACTACGCCAAGGTGAGGGGGACAAAGGCTGGGTCTGGTCGGCCGAGGGACAGATGTGGCACTGGAGAATCTAGGAAGGGTTCCAGGATGCCGCCCTGGTGGATCCTCCCTCTCTCCCTGCCATTTGCCAGTTATTCACCGAAATGATACCTGAATAGTCTCAGGTGGGGCATTCAGGCTGCCTGGACGATCCTGGTCCCCAGAGAAGTAGAGAAGAGAGATGGGGAGAGGCCACGACCAGCCCCTCCGGCTTTTCGGGGGTCAGTGGTTGCATTCAAGTCAACTGTGGAAGAGTGCAGGCAGGAGGGTGGCCCAGACGCACGTGAGTGTGTCAGGGCGCCCTCCACTGGCGACATGCTCTTCTCCCCCGCCGCCTTCTCTGTCTTCTGTGCTAGCCACCCCTGATCATGTGGTAGCTGCTGGATGGAGAGGAGCAGCCCCAAGTCCAATGGGGCTTTATCTTCCAGAGGGAGCCTTTCTCGGGCCCCTGGGTCCCTACCAGGGAACTAAGGCAAACAGGACGTCCGGGAAGGGGCCGAGGAAGCAGCTGAACAGCAGACCGCCTTCAGGAGAGGCCTTCCCACTGTCCTTCTCTCCCTCAGCGAGTACGGTGCTCCCAGCCAGTCTCCATCCTCTCACCCAACTCTCTCAAGGAGGTAGACTCTTCAGCGGAGGCCCTGCCCACGGCGATGACCTCCCCAGGGTCATCCCACGTCACAGGTGAGACCTCCCGCACCACGTCATGGGCAGAGCTCAGCGGTCAAGCACTGTGGCCGGGGAACGGGGAGAATGTTGAGCGGGGTACCTGAGGGAGGAGGTGCCCTTGTGAACCCCACGTAGGGCTCTCCTGTCCCGCATATCTCCTGCCGTTTCAGTCCACTCTGAATCCAGCTTTTCTAGCCCCGAAGACATTTCTGTATTGGAAACTCTCTGGGACTTTTGTTTATTTCTTCCGTGCGCAAGACAGACAGACACAGAGAGAGAGAGACAGCATCCCCAGCAGGATCATGACCCACCCCCAGCCCAGCCCACCCTGGATCGCGGGCGTGCATGTACCCAGGAGGTTTCTGGAAATGAACTGGGAACTTTCCTATGTGGGCCTGCCTGGCAGAATCTCATGTTTTATTGTGCTACTACTGTCCTGCCTCTCCTCTGGGGCTTTTATAAGCTACAGCTTCACTTTGAAAAGGATTAGTGGGGCCGGCAGCTGGTGAGGTGGTTAAGGTGCTGGACTCCCATGTGGCTGACCATGGTTCAAGTCCTGGACCTGGCAGCTTGCTTTCTCACTTTCCCTCTCTCTCTGTGTTTCTCTCTGGTCAAATTAAATAATTTCACTTTTAAAAAAAGGATTAGTTGCAGGACCAGCAGATGGCATAATGATTACGTCGCTGAACTCTCATGTACTTGACCGTAGTTCAAGTCCCAGACCCAGTGGCTTGAAACTTACACCAGGCGCATGTGCATGCCTGCCCAAAATCCCAAGAGGAGAGTGGAGGAGGAGGGATTGTGGTGTGGCCATCCCCCCTGGGAGGTGATTTCTCTCTGTCTCTCTAGCAAGCACACACACCCTATAACAACAACAAAAAAAGGATTCATTGCTACATACTCAGAATTCTTGGTGTTTTCCAAGAAAAAGGAACACAAGGTGGTGTTCCAGGTGGGAGTTAGAGAAGGGAAGCATTTATGAGGGAGGTGGGGAGGTGACACATACTCCCAACATCACAACCGCCATGGTATTAATCTTTTTAAAAAGATTTATTTCATTGTATTAATTATTATTACTTATTTTTAATTTGCAGAGAAAGGGAAAGTGAGGACGCAAATTGCCATGTCTGGGACTTGAACCGTGGTCAGCCATGTGGGAGTCCAACACCTTAACCACCACGCCACCTGCTGGCCCTAGCGATCTTTTATTTTAACATCGATACTCTTTTCTGTGTTTTTATATTTAACTGTGTGTATAAGTACGATTTGGTCTTTTTTTTTTAAGGTTTTTGCCATAGGGTAGATGCATTTGCCGGAGAGAGACAGACAGTGAGAGGGAAAGTGAGAAAGTGCCCTCAGGGGGGTTGGTCGTGCTGCAGTCTCTTCCCCATACTCCTCCTGGGATTTGGGGCACGCATGCACACATGCCTGGCATGATTTTCAAGCTGCCAGATCCGGTACTCAAACTGTGGTCTGCCACCTGGGAGTCCAGCACCTTAACCATGATGCCCCCCACTGGCCCCCTGGTCTGCTTTTTCATTTAATTTAATTTAATTTTAATTTTTCAGAATTATTTTATTTAACTTTATTTATTTATTTAAATTTGACCAGAGAGGGACAGAGTGAGAGAGAGAAAGTGAGAAAGCAAGCCGCCAGGTCCAGGACTCAAACCATGATTGGCCATGAGAGAGTCCAGCGCCCTTAACCACTATGCTACCTGCTGGCCTCCTTTAATTTCTGCCAGAGGGCACACACTCACCAAAGAATGACAGAGAGAGAGCAGACCCCAGTGTGGCATGGTCACAGTGCAGTCCCTTCTCTGTTTCTCCACCCTGTCAGGATTTGGGGTACACATGCACATGTGCTCAGTGAGGTTTTCCAGCCATGGGGTCAGGGTTCAAACCATGCAGTCAGCCATGTGGGATCCAGCTCTCTTAACCCCTAGGCTGTGGGGTTGGCCCAATTTGGTCTGCTTTCCTCCACTTGTGTATTTACGTGTATGTTCCTGTGTACAAAAGACGACCAGGGGTGCCAGCAGATGGTGTGGTTAAAGGCACTGGGCTTCTACATGGCCGACTGCAGTTCGAGTCCCAGACCTGGTGGCTTGTTTTTTCCCTTTCCCTTCCTCTCTCTCTCTTTGTCTGGTCAAATTAAAAATAATAACAAATGGAAATAAATAAATAAGCAAGGAAACAAACAAATACTTCTTTTTTAAAAAACTAGATGACCAGGAGCCAGGAGCTTGACTATCTCTGTTCCCCCTCTTTGTTGATCCCTCCCAAATCCTGCTTCAGCCACAGAACGGCAGGTCGTCCAGCCCTGGCCTGAGCGGCTGAGCAACAACGTGGAGGAGCTCCTACAATCCTCCTTGTCCTTGGGAGGTCAGGAGCAAACACCGGAACACAGGCAGGAGCAGACCCAGCACAAGCTGGGGCAAGAAGAACGGGAGGAGCAAGAAGAGGAAGCAAAGCAGGAAGAAGGACAGGGCGCAGGGGAAGGGTTGGAGGGGATGTCCGGGCTGCAGGCAGACTCCGAGACCAGGTTGCAGTCTGAATCTTTATCTTCCAATCCTTCCTCCTTCACGCCGCGGGTCCGAGAAGTAGAGTCTACTCCTTTGATGATGGAGAACATCCAGGAGCTCATCCAATCAGCTCAGGAAATGGGTGACGCGGATGACGAGGATGACGACGAGAATAGTGGCAAGAGTATCAGGTACAGAAGTCCGGGCCCCCTCATCGCCCTCTCCCTGCTGCTTTCTTTGGGAATGAGAAGCCCACTCTCCCACCTTCAGCCTCCAGACCCACGCAGACCTGCTTGGGCTTTGGGCACAGCTAGCAACCACCTGCCCCACCTGTTCTGTGCCCGTGGTTGGCTTACGCACGTTCTCTGCTTGTTCTCTGGTGGAAAGAGCCCTGGACCTGGGGCCATCTGGCGTGGGTTCTGGCCTTGTCCCTGGCTTTGATGAGCTTTGCCACCTTGACTTACTTCTCATTTCTGGACCTCACTTCCTCATTTGTGAAAGGAGACGGCTGGTCCCAAGGCCTCTAAGGCCCCATGTTCAGCACGCAGCATGTGTGTGACCAAGGCAAGCTGCGAAGCAGAGGGGAGGAGAGTAGATGTGGCTTTCTGCTCCTGCTCGGGCCGTCCCCAGCAGCCAGCACGGTCCTGTTCAGTCTCTTACAGACGCCCACCAAGGACGCCATGCTGGTGCTGTGCTACTCACTCGTGGGGAGCACCTGTATCTTTACCCCCACCATCAAAGCCTGGAAGTACATGGAGAACGTGATCCGTGGTTTTGGGAACTTGGTATGCCCGCCGTGCTGCTGAGTGGACACGCACTAGGCCGTGGGAGTGTGGGGTGGGCAGGGAGCACTGGAGGCTTAGTGGGAGAGAGTCTTTCCAGGTGGAACTCCCTTTCTTTGGAAAGGCATCTCCAGCCCTCCTTGTAGGAGGAAGGTTCAAGACCTTGTCTGGACTCCAGTCCAGTTTGGGATCGATTCTTCAGCTCTCTGAGTTCTTAGGCTTTGTGTCACCTCTTGATCCAGTTCACCTTGGAGGCAGTTCCCCTTTTTCCAAAGGGTTCATAGAACCCATCTCAGAGAATCCATAAAGAGATTCAGTCTCAGTGTGTCCTCAACACTCAGCAAGTCTATGTCCAGGGAAATACACTTTAGCGTTCAAATCATGGAATTTAACGAATGGATGTTGAGCGCTAAGATGCCCTCCGTTCAGCTCTGTGTTCAGAAAACACTGACTGGGCACCCATCCACTATTTGGGTATTTGAGATGCCTCTCACCAACCCTCTCACCTCCAGGAGTCTGGTGAGGGAGAGAGGTGAGGAGACAGGCAAGACAGTAGGATGGGTCCGTGCTGCAAGAGGGACAAGGACAAAGCAGGACAGGGCTTCCTGCTTGGGAGGATCAGAGAATAAAATTTTTTGCTCAAGGGTGCATGTGCTCACAGGAGAGACAAAAAAAAAAAAAAAAAGAAAGAAAGAAATCACCCCCCTAGGTGATGGCCATGCCAGGATCCCTTCTCCTCTATTCCCCTCTTGGGATTTTGGGCACACACGCACACACACCTGGTGTGATTTTCAAGTTGCCAAGCCTAGCACCTTAACCTCCATGCCACTGGCTGTGCCAGAGCTGATCTTTAAACTGAAATAGAATGATAAAAAAAGTTAACCAGTCAAAAGAAGGGATCTGGGGCCAGGAGGTGGTATGGTGGTGAAGATGCTGAACTCCCACGTGGCTGGCTGTAGTTCAAGTCGTGGACCTGCTGGCTTGCTTTCTCTACATCTGTCTCTGTCTGGTACACAAACATCCCCAATAGCAAATTTAAAAGTAATAACAACAATAAATAAAATTAAATAGATCTTAAAAAAAAAAAAAGGCAGAAGCCATTATATATGTGTGTATATATATGTATAAAAACAGAGGCTGGCAGGTGGCATGGTGGTTGAGGTGCTAGACACGTGGCTGACCACGGTTCAAGTCCTAAACCTGGCGGCTTGCTTTCTCACTTTCCCTTTCTCTCTCTCTCTGGTCAAATTAAAAATAATAATAAATAAATCTAAAACTAAAAACAACAACAACAACAAAAAAGGGCAAGGGCCTGCTAGTAGTTTCCTGATAAAGGGAATAGTGTGTGTGGAGGCTGTGAGGCGGTTAGCAATGTAAGTTTCAGGAGGCACTGAGAGTGAGCATCTGTTTCTGCTCTCCAGGGGCCGAGGGCTCCTGAGGGAGACCAAGGGAGAGACAGTGCTGTTACAGAGGAGTGCGGGCGGCCGTAGACAGAAGCATTGGAAGTGTGAGAATTTAGGAGTCACGTAGAGACTAGCTGGTTTTGTGACTTGGATAAGAGAGCAGTAGGGCTCATTTTACCTAGCGTGGAGATGCAGGAGATGGAGTGAGGGTCACAATGGGAAAAAATCTTGAAAGGCAGTCATTTTTTTTAAGAGTTATTTTATTTAACTTTATTATTATTATTATTTTGAGAGGCTTTTGCTATAGGGTGCGTGTGCTCGCCAGACAGACAGAGAGAGGCATAGAGACAGAAAGTGAGAAATCACCCCCCAGGGGGGATGGCCACGCCGCAATCCCTTCTCCTCCATTCTCCTCTTGGGATCTTGGGCACGCACGCACATGCACCCGGCATGAGTTTTAAGCCACTGGGTCCGGGACGCGAACCGTGGTCGACTACATGGGAGTCCAGCAACATAGCCATTACGCTAACTGCTGGTCCCAAACTTTATTATTTATTTCAAGTCCTGGACATGGTGGCTTGCTTTCTCACTTTCCTTCTCTCTCTCTCTCGGTCAAATTAAAAAATAGTAATAATAAATTAAATACATACTTAGGTTTTTGCCTTAGGGTACGTGAACTTGCAAGAGAGAAAGACAGTGAGAGGAAAGTGAGAAATCACCCCCTGGGGAGGACGGTCCTCCATTCTCCTCCTGGGATCTTGGACAAATGGACCTGGGATGAGTTTCGAGCCACTGAGTCCAGGACTCAAACCATGGTCAGACATGTGAGAGTCCAGCAGTGTAACTGCTATGCCATCTACTGGTCCAATAAGTAATTATTTTTATTTTAAAAATTTATTTTTTATTTAACTTTATTTATTTATTTTAATTTGACCAGAGAGGGACAGAGAGAGAGAGAGAGAAAGTGATAAAGCAAGCCACCAGGTCTAGGACTCGAACTGCAGTTGGCCGTGTGGAAGTCCAGATCCCTTAACTTCCACGCTATCTGCTAGTCCCTCAATAAATAATTCTTTTTTTTTGGGGGGGGTTTACTATAGGGCATATATGCTCACCAGAAAGAGAGAGATAGAAAGACAGAAAGCGAGAAATCACCCACCCCCCGGGGGGATGGCCATGCTGCAGTCCCTTCTCCTCCACTCTCCATTTGGGATCTTGGGCACGCATGTACATGTGCCCCGCGTGAGTTAAAGCTACTGTGTCCAGCACTCGAACCGCGGTCGACTACATGGGAGTCCGGCAACATAGCCATTACGCCAACTGCTGGTCCCAAATAATTCTTTAAAAAGAGAGCGAGGTCAGTCATGTCCTGTGACTGATTGTACTGATGGGCGAGGAAGGAGGATGGGATTGGCTGAAGACGCTGCTTAGCAAGGCCTTCTGATGGTGGATGGGGCTGAGGAAGCTCGGTCAGGGCGGGGTGCAACTAGGAACTGGGTGACTCCATCCTGAAGAGTATCTTCCAAGAATGTGGAGGTTTCCAAGTTAGGCAGTTGGGTAAGCTTAGGTTTCAGAGTTAGAAGGACCTGGACCCATGTCCCGACGCCAGTCTGGTAGTCACGTGGTATTGAGCGACCTGCCCAGCCTCACTGAACCTGTGGAGGGATAGTATTAGTAACTATGCTATTTTAGGGTGCTTGTGAAGCCCGAACCGGAGGAGAGCATTTATAGCCACAGTGCCAGCAGTGTCACCTCTTTATAAATATTGGCATTATGAGCAAGGCTAGAGAATAGATGCAAGCGCTATTCGGATAAGCCATCAGGGGTGGTTACAGGTCACCCAGTAGCACCTCTGGCAGGCACTTTGCCGTGAGCATTTGGAGTTCAAGAAAGAGATCGGAGCTGGCGACGCATGTTTGGGTGTCACCTGCAGGTAGATAAGGACTCCAGGAAGGTGGTGAAGAAACTCAGAGCTGGGGCCAGGTCCCTCAGGACTCCTTGGGGAGGGGCAGGAGAAAAGCCATAGCCTCTTGCAGAAGAACCTTAATACAAAGACATCCTGCAGAGGGGGCGCCCAGAGGGGCTGAGGTGTGGAAGCTGGCAGGCTGCTCCCCCACCACCTAAGCCTCAGTCCCTTCCCCTACCCCCGCCCCAGGTGTGTGACAGCCTTGGGCGGCGACACTTAGAGTCCTGTGCCTACTGCGCCTTCTGCTCCCTGAAGCTGGAGCAGTGCTTCAGGGATAACACCCTCAAGCGGCAGCGTTGTGACAACTCCCACAAGACACCCTTCGTCAGCCCCTTGCTCAAAAAGCAGTTACAGTCACAGTCTGTGGGCACCAAGGTACCTCGTGGGCAGCCCACCTGCCGGCGGGGGGGGAGGCCTCCAGGGGAGCAGGGCTACACCTCCCCCACCCCCTGTGCCACAGATAGCCGAGGTGGAGCCGGGGCACTATTACGGGATGGATCTGTTCGGTGGGCTCAGCATGGACTCCTGGTGTGCTCGGCTCGCCACAAAGGGCTGTGAAGACAGTCGAGTCTCCAACTGGCTGCAGACTGAGTTTCTGAGCTTCCAGGATGGAGATGACCCCACGAAGGTCAGAGCCTTTCCTTGAGCTCAGGCTCACCCTGGCCCTCAGCCGGCTTCCTTCCCATCACCTGCTCCAGTAGCAGGGAGTGTGCAGGGTGTGGGAGGGGACTTGGGCCCCTGGCTTCTGAGACCCATCCTCACCGAACCTCCTGCCTCCCCCCAGCAGACCACTGCACCCTGCACCCCTCCCCACATAGAGCAGGATTGCATCTGGCAAAGGAGGGGTGACCCTGGGAGGCAGGAGATGGAGGTCTGGGCCCCGGGCTGGCACTTTCTTAATGAATGGCTTTGGTCAAGTCACTTCCCATTGGCCAGGTGTGGGGGAGGTGCGACCCTGCACGCTGCACTTCCCTGCGGCATCGCCAGCTCCTTCCCCAGCCCGGTGCACACCGGCACCTGCTTTGGAAACCCCTAGAGTTCCCTCTGCCCCAGCCACTTCCCCTGTTTCCAGAGTCAAGCCCCTCCTTTCCAGGGCCAGTTCAGAAAGGGCTGGTAGCTGAGCTGAGGGCCCCTGCCCGCTCTGGTCCCCAGGCCCCAAGATGAGGAATGGGTCTTGGAGATCATCTTGGCTGCCCAGAGGCCAGGGCCAAAGAGGGAAGCGGTTGGCCCACTGTCCACTAGAGATCTCCCTCCACTTCTCTTGTATCACCAGAAGGATCCCCACGTTTGACATGAATTGGCTCCTTTCTTGTCTGGCCCCTGAACCCCCACACCTGTCCCCACAGGCTGATCATGAGGGCACCCTCCTCTCACTCTCCGACTCCTGGCTTCTGCCCGGCAACCGTGAGTCTGCCCCTGCCTGTTCTGCTATTCCGTGTACTCTGGAGGGCCGGCCTGTTGGGAGGCCTCTAACACCCCCTCCTCTGGCTGTGGCTTCTGGCTTAGATCTGCGACACGGACTACATCCAGTACCCCAACTACTGTTCCTTCAAAAGCCAGCAGTGCATGATGAGGAACCGGAACCACAAGGTGAGCCCCAGTGTCCTGAGCCCCCCACTGTGAGTGGCTGTGAGGCAGAGCGCAGCCTCCCCAGCTCCTCCGCCCTCCAGGCCCTCCTGGCCAGAGGTAGGAGGTGAGAACCCCCAGCTGGCTGAGGACTGGAGGCTAAGGTCTCAGGGACAAGTCACTGCCCCTCCACCCTCGGCCTCATTTCTGAAGGAAGGGGGTTGGCTACTTAGAGTCCCCCCCATCTTTCCAAACCCGTGGCCAAGTTTCTTTTCCCCTACTGCCCCATGCCCATGGCTGGCCCCGGCCAGCCTCTAGCGTGTCCCCACTAAATCCCCACGCAGGTGTCCCGCATGAGGTGCCTGAGCAACGAGACCTACAATGTGCTGAGCTTAGACAAGAGCGAGGACGTGGTGCTTCGGTGGAGCCAGGAGTTCAACGCCTTGACCTTAGGCCAGTTAGGATAAGCCGGGGCTGTCCACTGCGACCCCACCCCAGCTCGACCTTTCCACATTCAGCTTTGCTTTTAGACCCATCTATCAGTTTGCTTCCAGGCTGCCCCCCAGGGGTCTCTAACCTGGGCCCTCTCACGCATCCTTGGGCTGGGCAGCCCTCCCGGAGAGGCTCGTAATGGGAACTGCCCTGCCTCAGAGGGCACCTGTAATAAAACATTTATCCTCAGCCGTGTGGCCTGCTTGGTCATGATCCCCACCCTGGCACTGCCGCCCTGCCCCGTGCGCTCCACCCACAACCACTGGTTTCATGGCTGCGCCTGTAGGTGAGCACCTTGTGGGACGGGTGCTCAGTGCAGCGACCCTCTGCCAGGAGCAGCACTGGGCTGAGAAGTGAGGGAGGTCCCCTGAGAAGGCCTGGGTACGGGCATTACCTGGGCCATGAGGCGGGTGTGTCTGTTTCCGAAGCTCCAGTCCCCAACCCCGATCTCAGACATGGGCAAGATGACCTCTAGGGAAAAGGCAAGGGCCAGCCAGATCACTCTCGGGGGCGGGAGGGAACCGATCCCAGAGGTGAGCTAGACTGGCCCTTTATTAGGAGGGAAGTGACCAGCAACGGCAGCCTGGAGCTCAGGAAACCTTGCATGTGGCGTGCCAGGCGGTCTGCAGGTGGAGGTGGGACAGCAGTACCGGCCTTTAGTAACGGGAACGCTCCCTAAGTATGTCTATGGGACACACTGTAGACTCTCTCCCCTTCTGTAGGATCACGGTAATTAACATGATTAAAAAAACATACTCAGCAGCCAGTAGGTGGCATGGTGATTGGGGTGGTGGACTCCTACACGGCCAACCGTGGTTTGAGTCCCGGACCTGGTGGCTTGCTTTCTCATTTTCTCCCTCCCTCTCTCTGATGACTACAACAAGTTAAAAAAAAAAAAAAGTAATAATAATCAAAATAATTTTTTTATTCTTTTTTTTTTCCTTAAAAAAACCTTGGTGCCAGCAGTTAGCATGTAGTTACAGCTCTGGACTCCCATATGGCCAGTCACCTGGCGGCTTGAAACTCACACCGGGCACGTGCGCGTGTGTGCCCCAAATCCCAGTAGGACAATAGAGGAGAAGGGACTGTGGCATGCCATCCGCCCTGGGAGTGATTTCTCACTTCCCCTCTCTGTCTCTCTGGCGAGCTCATGCACTCTACGGCAGAAACTTGGGGGACAGGACTAGCATAGCGCACCACGCCTGTACCCTTTGCCTGGCTTCAGTGAGCACTGACCTTTTGACCTGCCACCCCAGACTTGAACTTGGTTTTGTTCACTGAGCATGTAAAACATGCCCAGCCTAGGATGAGCAGATGGCATAATGGTCAAATCACTGGACTCCCACATGGCCGTAGTTCGAGTCTCAGACCTGGAGGCTTGAAGCTCACGCCGGGCTCGTGTATGTGCGTGTGTGCTCAAGATCCTTAGAGGAGAATGGGGGAGAAGGGATTGCAACATGGCCAACCCCCTCCCGGAAGGGGCTGTTTTCTTGCTTTCTGTCTCTGGTGAGCACACACGTCCTATAGCAAAAATCTCTCCAAAAAAGAAAAAAACGTGCCCAGCCCTGTGCTCAACCCCAGGGTACTGACACAGAGACAAGGGGCTGTCACCTGAGCCCCCACCCTCCCAGCTGGCAGCCGAGGCTAAGCAGACATCAGCAAAGAGGATCCGTGTAGCCTGGTGCTGCAGGGGTGGAGGGGTGCATGTGGGGGCAGGGAAGGGGCCGGCACACGAGGGCCTGGGCAGGGTGAGGTGCAAAGCCTCTGTGGCTTGGGCTTAACCACCTGGCAGACCCAAGAGGAAGGGAGTCCCAGGGGAACCAGTGAGCGCAGCTGGAGGCTGGCCGGTTAGTCATCTGGCATCAGCGGTGGGTGTGCCCATAAGTTCCGGAAACTGTGGGGAGTGTGACACTGGATGGGGGAGTTACTCGTCAGCAGGAGTTGGGGAGTGTTACCTGGATGTTGGGGTCTTCCGGCAAGTTGGGCAAGTTGTCGGGGCCTCTGAGGGCAAGGCCTCCTCCCACCTCTCTGCTTGGCCCCTGCTTGGCAGGGGCTGGGCCAGTACAAGGAGCTGTTGGGATGTGCTGAGGTCGGCCAGGTGGGTGTGTCCCCACCCGCCACAGGAGTACAAGGAGCTGGAGGGATGTGCTGAGGCCGGCCAGGTGGGTGTGTCCCCACCCGCCACAGGAGCAGGTCCTACGAGCTGGGCCCAGCCCAGAGCAGACAGCGGAAGCCAGCTCGAGGCAGAGGCAGCGGCAGAGCTACAGGGAGCACAGGTACGGGGGTGTCTTCGAGAGGGACTGAGCTGCACAGGAGGCACAAGGACCAGCACCCCTCCTGTACAGGCTGGGGGTGGCCAGGGATGGATATGAGGGTGGGCCAGGGCCCTTGGAAAACTTGTTGTTGTTGTTTAGAGGTTTTTGCTATAGAGTGCGTGTGCTTGCCAAAAAGGCAGAGGGAGGGAGACAGAAAGCGAGAAATCACCACCAGGGGGGATGGCCACGCCGCAATCCCTTCTCCTCCATTCTCTCAGGATCTTGGGCACGCACGCACACGCGCCCAGCGTGAGTTTAAGCCACCAGGTCCGGGACATGAACCACAGTCGACCACGTGGGAGTCCAGCGACATAGCCATTACGCCAACTGCCAGTCCCCCTTGGAAAACTTTTTGAACAGAGTTAAAAGCTATAAGGGGCTGTGAAGCAGAGGGACCTCTCCCACGGAGACTGCTGAGGCAGCCGGCGTGCCGCGGTGCTGCAGTGCTCCTCAAGTCATGAAGCCCCACTCCAGACAGCTCAGAGAGGCTATGCCTGCCCCACACTCTGCTGGTCCCCACTGGCATGTCGAACCCTGGCTCCCCACAGAAGGCCCTCTGGGGACTGTTTTTAGCCTTCCCCCATGCCCAGGTAGACTTTCACCCCAGCCCACTGGCCTTCCAGGCCAGGCCCTCTGCTAGGTAACAGCTCATCTGATGAATCAGCTAGTGGGTTCACTGGCACGGATGGGTCCTCGTTATCCCTCCCAGTGAAGCAAGGTATGTGTGTGTGTGTGTGTGTGTGTGTGTGTGTTTTAAGAATTATTTTATTGGGGCCGGCAGGTGATGTGGTGGTTGAGGTGCTAGACTCCCACATGGTCGACCATGGATTAAGTTCAAGACCTAGTGGCTTGCTTTCTCACTTTCCCTCTCTCTTACTCTCTCTGTCCTTCTCTGGTCAAATTAAGATAAATAAATAAATTAAACGATTCTTTAAAAAAAAAAAGAATTATTTTATTGGGGCTGGCAGCTGGTGTGGTGGTTGAGGTGCTGGACTCCCACATGGCCAACCACAGTTCGAATCCTGGACCTGGCGGCTTGCTTTCTCATTTTACTTTTCTCTTTCTCCCTGTCTCTTTCTGGTCAAATAAAAAAATAATAACAAGTGGAATTAAATAAATAAATATATATTTAAAAAATTATTTTATTTAACTTTATTTTATTTTGACTAGAAAGCAAGAGAAAGAGATGGAATGTGACAAAGCAAGCTGCCAGGCCCAGGACTCGAACTGTGGCCGTCCATGTGAAAGTCCAGCGCCCTTAACCACCATGCCACTTGCTGACCACTCGACCACAGCGATCTTACAGGGCACGCTTAGTTTTTAATCTCCCATTTAATTTTATTTATTCATTCATTCATTTATTCTTAATTTGGCAGAGACAGAGAGAGAGAAGAAGTGAGAAAGCAAACCATCAGGTCCAGGACTCAAACAGTGGTCAACCATGTGGGAGTGTCCAGCACCTTAACCACCACGCCACCTGCTGGTCCTCCGCAAGGTGTGTTTTAACGGGGTCTTCTGGAAATACTGCCTCAACCCAAAAGATTCGTCTGAATACAGAGATTAGACTCGCTCTTCTGTAATGTCTCCACAGCTGGAATGTGGCTCATCAGCAGCATGAAGAGGAAATTAAGAAGTCCCCAGATGGGGAAGTGGGGGGTAGAGGGCTTTATGATACCTCCGTGTCACATCAGTGAGGGACGACGCCTCTACCTCTGTCCCTCTGGGTCCTCCGCCAGATTGTATCTCCAGAACTCCTCCTCTTAGGGGAGCTAATGTTGTAGGCTGAACGAAGGGGAGATAGAAACCTACTCCTGTGAGTAGGCCTCTCCCCTGGCTACCAGAGACCCTAGAACCCACTCCATCTGTGTTCAATGCCTTCGACTCTCCCACCCGTGTATACCACCTGCACAGAGACCTTTTGTGCCCAGGGGCATTAAAAATGTCAGCAGCCAGCATGTGGCACTGACCTGAAGGCTGAGGCGCTAGATCCCACGTGGCTCACTGTGGAGTTGGAGTACGGGATCTGGCATCCTGAAAATTAGGCCCGGTGCATGAAAATCAGGTGTGTGAGCCCAAAACCCTAAAAAGGGAATGGAAGGGAAGGGATTGCAGCGTGGCCATCCTCCCAGGATGGTAATTCTCCCTTTCCCTCTCTCTCTCTCTCTCTCTTTCTCTCTCTTTATAACTCTGGCGAATGCACTTATCCTACAGCAAAAAATAAAAATAAAATAATTTCCAAAGTCACACTATCAAAATAAAGGAGAGGCCAGCCTGTGGTTAAGGTGGCTGGGTCCCACATGGCCGACTACAGAGCTGGACCCAGTGGCTTGGGAAACATACCAAAATCCCAAGAGCAGAATGGAGGAGAAGGGATTGTGGTGTGGCCATGCCCACTCCAAGAGGTGCTTTCTCGCTTTCCCTCTCTCCCTTTCTGGCTCTCCCCAGTGAACACACACACCCTGTAGCAAATTACGAAAATGAAAACAGAGGAGGAGGCAGCAGAGGGGTGAGGGCTGAAGCCAGTGGTGTGTACTAAGGTCAGAGGAGGTCAGAGTGGCCAGGACTCCAGGTCTCCACAGGACCAAGAGCCGCTGGGCCTGAAGGCGGACCGCGTGCTGGCGGGCTGCCCGGCCAGTCTCAGGGACTTCTCCTGGATGGGACGTTATTTCTGCTTTTCCAGCACTTGAGAGCAGGTGGAGGGGGATGTGCAGGAGGTGAGGTGTCCACACAGCGGGGGATCCTCCACCCAGCAGTGGCTGCCTTTGCTTTCTGCCTCTTCCCAGAAAATGTTGGAAAGAATGAGGTCAGAGTACCTGGGGAGCGAGAAGACACGGCTGAGGATGATGTTTGGAAAGGCAGGAAGATGGGACCAGCGAGTGGTGTGGTGGTTAAGGCGCTGGACACTCCCGCATGGCCGATCATGGTTTGAGGCCCGAACCTGGTGGCTTGCTTTCTCACTTCCCCTGACCCCTGCCTCTGTGTCTCTCTCTAGTCAAATTAAAATGAATGAATGGATAAATAAAATTAAATAAAATAATCCTTTAAAAAGAAAGAAAGAAAGAAAGGCAGGAATAGACAGCCTCAGTGGGAGGAGGGTCGAGAGCTGGAGCAGGAATTTTGGCTGGGTGAGCTGGGCGGGCCTGGATCCTGAGGGGGGAGGATGGTGACAAGACAAGGCACCCAGGGCCTGCAGAGGAAGTGCCTCTCTTTGGGAAGAATGTGGCCTCTGGGACAGAAGGAGGCCTCCCCACGCACTTCACCTGTGACCTCACGCTGTGTGCACACCACAGACCTCTCCATCTCAGCCCTGCCCCCCAGCCCCAGGATAAGCCCGTGAGTGGATTCATCGTGCCCTCCGACAGAGCTTTTTACAAAGCCTTTAGACTGCGTTAAGCTGCTGGAGGCTCAGCGCAGCGGGGACCCATCTGGGGAGCCCGGATACCTGGATATTAAGGGTCTTTGTAACGAAGCCTGTCCTTGAGGCTGGACTGAGCCCTCCCACATGGCCGCAGCTCAGAAGCCCAGAAAGTAGGCTTAGCTGACTTAGCTAATGGGTTAAAGCCTACAGCAGAGGGTTATTTCCTGTCGGGGCTGAAACACCGACCACAAGAATCCCAAGTGAGGATGGGGAGATGAGAGTCCTTCTTTGCAAACTTCTGACCCAGAGTCCGAATCAGGGGCAGAGAAAAAAGAAGGGTGTGGATTACTGAAAGGAGGACTGCGAAGAAGCGAGAGTGCGGGGCGCGGGGTGCGTGTGTGGGGCGGGCGGGGGGCGAACACGGAGAGCGGCCAGCATTCTCTCCTGCTTCCTGCCCCATCGTTGTCTCGAATAGTTCTTTCTCCTTCGCGCTCCCCAACCGCCGCCTCTGCACCGCTGCCCGGCAGCTGGCCACCCTCCAGAGCGCAGATACGCGAGGGCAGGGTGTGAGGAAGGGGGTGCGGAGTGCGGGAATGCTCATGATCTGGCCGCCTGCTCGCTTTACCCTCTGGTTCCCACTTCCTGCCTGGGGCAGAAAATAGCCCTGCCTCTCTGACTTATCTCAACAGAGAGCAGTACCCAGCCCAGCTCAGAGGGCAAGGGGGCAGGTCCCACAGGCCCTGAGGAGGTAAAGAACCTGCCCCGGCCGCAAATGGGGGTGGAGGGCGGGGGCTGAAGGACAGACGACGCAGGAAGGCGGCTGCACGTGCTCCTGTGTGAGTGGGGTGCGGTGGGTGCGGTGTGACCATGGTCCCTGGGTGCCTCCCAGTGAGCGAGGGCTGCTTTCCCCGCAGAGCCTCCGGCTGAGATCTGCTGTGCACATCTGCGTATGTCAAGGAGCCGCCTGATTCTGTCTGTCTGTCTGTGCAGGGATGTCGTCCTAAGGCCGGGATTGTCTTCTCTTCCCGTTCTGGCCCAACTGTCTGTGCACCTGTTTGTACAGGTCGGGGGTGTGTATGCACCGGTGCGTGTGCTACTAGGGACCGTGCGTGTGCGCACAGCGGTATGCTTACGTTGCCACAGTTGTGAGTCGATGTTGTTGAGCATGTGGGGCCTCCGTGTCCCTCCTTCCTGGTGAGATGAAGCCGCGGTGTTCCTTTCTGAGGCAGCTGCTAGTTCTTTGATTCTTGCGTTTCTTTCACAACCTGACCTCTTTCTTTCTTTCTTTTTTAAAGTTACTGCATGTGCTCACAGGAGAGAGACAGAGAGTGAAAGAGAAAAAGTCACCCCCCCAGAAGGGATGGCCATGTGCCCTCTCTTCCTCCAGTTTCCTCTCGGGATTTTGGGCACACGTGCAACCTGACCTTTTCTGCAAAGCAGGATTGGGAGAGAGGGTCTGGGCGCCCCTCCCCCACACCCAGATCCCTCCTTCCATTTCCTGTTTGCCTCCTTTTGGCAGTCCTCCACCCCCTCCTTTGCCATCTGGCCTGGCACGGTGCCCACTCAGCTCCACTCACAGGGAGCCCCTGGGCTCAGGGAAGCT